GAAATAAAAAAGGGTATGTAGCTTAGTAACATTCCACGGGGTTTTTACCAGAGAATGTGTTGTGTCCATTATTATTATTATACTCCATTCGTACAGTGTGCACGGTGTTTTCATGTTTGAAAAGCAAACATCCTGTGCACAAAATACTCAGTACGAGTGCTTCTCTGATCTCTTGTGCATCCCAATCCTTCCCCCCCCCCAAAAAAAATTTCTTTTAAGCATGAAAACTTAGAAACATTCTAAAGAGAGTTCTTATTTTACAGAAGATGATGGTGATGAGATAAAGATTGGGACTACGTGCAAAAATGCAGGCTGTTCAAAGGTAAATATCTTAAATCTTACTTAAACAACACAGTAGACCTTCTGTTTTATTTCAAGTGGTTTTTTTTTAGTACAGACCTGCCAACTAATGTTAGAACAATATGTTCCATGAATAAGTTTGTGTGTGTGTAATATTTTGTTTGTGTGATATGTATGTGTAATATGTTGGTGAGTGCTGAAGATGACGAGTGGGACCTCGTCGAAACGTCGCCAAGATACTCTCAATCTTACACGGGAAAAGACCCGAATATGCCAAGACCTGCATGTGTGTGTGTGTGTATAGGTCTTGGTGTATTCGGGTCTTTTCCCGTGTAAGATTGAGAGTATCTTGGCAACGTTTCAACGAGGTCCCACTTGTCATCTTCAGGCTGGGGTCTTCGGCTTGGTGCTTGTGCAAGCAAAGTGTGATTGGAGCTGCTGTCTCTCTATAAATATTGGTGGGGGTGGGTGGAGTGCTGGCTTAGATGCTGTAGGTGGATTGGTTGGCTGTGTGGATTGGTTGGCTGTTATTTTTTGTGGCAATAAGCCAGCAACTAAGCCAGCACTCCACACACACCCCACCAATATTTATAGAGAGACGACAGCTCCAATCACACTTTGCTCGCACAAGCACGAAGCCAAAGACCCCAGCCTGAAGAGGACGAGTGGGACCTCGTCGAAACGTCGCCAAGATACTCTCAATCTTACACGGGAAAAGACCCGAATACGCCAAGACATGTATATATATATGTGTGTATATATCCGAAATTACTTTAAAAATGTGATCCCCGGGTATATCCATGTTCAAAGTCAGTCAATAGACGTGAGCACCAGGGAATAAATAATTTAATAATAATAATTTAGAGATAAAAGTTCTTAAGAATATTAAAAACCTTTAAAATACATAGAAATCAATAAAAGTGCCTAGCTTTCGTCGGCATCCGCTGACATC